TCTTCTGTTCTGTGTCTGTGTTTGAGTCTGCATAGGAAGGTGAGGGTGGCTAAGATGAGAAAAGCAGATAAAATGTACTTGAATAGATATCATGTAAATAAGTCAAATTTTAGTATATTTTGACTGATTTTTTTTTCTTATTTTCTCCCTTCCTTCCTTAAAACAAATAAACAAAAAGCTTAATATAGGGGAAACTATGTAGTCCTGGTTGCTTCGGTAGCTTCCATATTGTGACAATCAGGAGAAATTAAATATGAAGACACAAATGGGTATGTAGAAAATAATGTGTGCTTAATAAATCTTAGTTGAAATAATAAATAAAAGTAAACTGAGTCTATAAAACTCAGTTTCTAGGACATTTTTTTACATTTTCACCTTACTGTCTTGTAAGAAAAATTCAAATTTTGCTCAGTTTCATAGGCATGGAAGTGTGTGCTATATTGTGCAAAGATTTTCATCAATAGAACATTTTTTTTAAAGTCTTGACACTTTAATGTTCTTGAAATTCCTTAGTAAGAACTTACTCCCTGGTGATATAAAATAAATATAGTATAATTACAAAACACAGTGTCTCAACAGAATAAAAAGAGAAAGGGGAGAGGGCAAAGGCTTAGCCATTTATAAGGAGTTAGACGTGCCTTTAGATGATCAGAGGAGCCTGGTGGACTACAGTCCTTGCGGTGGCAAACGGGCGGGCACAACTTCAGCGACTAACCAACAGAAGTTACGGAGAAGGCAATGGCACCCCACTCCAGTCCTCTTGCCTGGAAAATCCCGTGGACGGAGGAGCCTGGTGGGCTGCAGTCCACGGGGTCGGGAAGAGTCGGACACGACTGAGCGACTTCACTTTCACTTTTCACGTTCATGCACTGGAGAAGGAAATGGCAACCCACTCCAGTGTTCTTGCCTGGAGAATCCCAGGGACAAGGGAGCCTGGAGGGATGCGGTGTATGGGGTCGCACAGAGTCGGACACGACTGAAGCAACTCGGCAGCAGCAGCAGCAGAGACAGAAGTTATGCCAGACATGAGCGAGCAATAGCCAGGGGGCGCTAAAGAGCTGGAGCCACGTGGTGAACGTGGGGAAGAACTGCGTGCTCTTTGACAAAACAGGTTAGCGAATTTCACTCTAGTATCTAGTCTATTACTAGCTATTGGAAGCAATTTCAAAGTTTAAATTTTGTTTTACCAGCGCATTAGCACAGAGAATTATTTAGAGAATCTGATAATATTTATCTTACTAATTAGACATAAGGAGAAAAGGACATGTATTTGTACCCTTTCTCTTTTTTCTATTTTAGAAAGTCACTTTTTTCTGTTCACATTTAAGTGTGAGAGCCCTTTCCCTTTTATAGTTGGAGATTCGGAGGTCCAAATAAGAACTAAAACAAAGTTCTCAAAATACAAACAAAAATAATACTTTTTACACAATAAATTTCCTTATATAATACCCAAGCTTACAACTTTAGCATCTTTTAGAATTTGAAAAGTTCATTTAACTAAATATAGCCTACATTAAGTCAGTAAATATTTTACAGAAAAGCATTTTTTTCTGAAGCATATTGAAATGTTTTAATATTTTTCTTTTTTTTGGTGGACTTTTTTAGAAGCTGCTTTTCAGACAGTTCTAAACTCTCCCTTAATCTGAAATGATATATATTAAGTCCTTAGTTTTTTCTTGATGATACAAGAAAATGGTGATATCACCAGGGTCGGGATGATTCCCCCACTCCAGTATTCTTGGGCTTCCCTGGTGGCTGAGGCAGTAAAGAATCCACTTGCAATGTGGGAGACTTGGGTTCAGTCCCTGGGTTGGGAAGATCCCCTGGAGAAGAGAATGGCTACCCACTCCAGTATTCTGGCTTGGAGAATGTCGTGGACAGAGGAGCCTGGCAGGCTACAGTCCATGGGGTCGCAGGGAGTCAGACAGGATTGAGTGAATTTCACTTTCACTTTAATCATGCAAAGTCAGATTTGTGATAACTCAGTATTACTGCCCTGTAAAATCATGGCCTCTGTCTGAGTAAAACTAGAAGGATGAAGGGGGAAAGGAGGTGACATGTGAAGGGAAAATCCAAAGGCCACGGGCACAGGAATTACTAGAGAGAATGGAAGGTCATGGGCAACTGGCAATTCAATGGTTAATAGAACCTTTCCGCCTGAAGGCTAGTGAGGAAGGAGGTGTTCAGAGCAAAGCCTTGCAGGGAAGGGAAGTGTAGAAATGGTTTTTGCCCATTCTGAGCTGGTCATGGGCCAAGGAAGCACAGCAGTCAATAGGATGCCTGAGCAAACTATAGCAGCCAATGAATGAGAAGAGGATGCACCACCTACAAGGTGCAAGGAAAAGAATGCAACTCAATTGCTCCCCCTCTGGACAACTGTGACATAGCAACGAGAAGATGCACAGCCCAGCTTCAGCTCTGCTGCTTTCTGGGATAGAAAACATCAAATTACTTAATTCTGAGTTAGATCCCTATTCCTCAGGCTGGTTAGAGTTCTAAATGAGTTAGCATTTGTGCGGGTGCCCAGTGTAGTAGATGTTCAAATCCTTTTGAGAAAGAGGCAGACCATAAGGAAGTAACCAAGCTGACTGAAAATGTTTATTAAGCATTTAAACATACCAGACACCCTAAAAGGGGCCGGAGAGGCAAAAACATGTAAGAAAATCCTTTCTCTCAGAGCACAGTTTAGTGGGAAGCACAGACAGGTAAATACTTTCATGAAAACACACTTTGATAACTGCTACAATAGAAAGAGAACCAAGTGGAATCCAGAGAAGATAGGCATTCATTGTAACTTTAGCTGCAAAGAAACGTATAATTAACTCGGGCTTAGGAGTTGAAGAGTGCTTCAAAGAAAATGGGACTTTCAGATGGAGAGTAAGCAAATCAATAGGAATTTTCAAGAAATTTTTAAGTTAAAAAGATGAAGTTATTTGTAAGAATAAGAAAATTTCTAAAATCTGTTTCAAATAAAAAACACTATGGTTCTGATAATCAGATGGCAAATAAGCACAGGTAGAAAAATACAAATTGAAACTACAACCATCAGAATAACTAAAAGTAAAAATAAGGACAACACTAAATCCTAGCTAAAGTATGGAGAAATTGGATCTCTCATGTACTTCTGATGAGAATGTAAAATTGTAAGACATTCTGGGAAACATTGTAACAATTTCTTATAAAATATAACATGCAACTTCTATGTGACCTAGCAAATGGCACTCTTGAGCATTTATCCCAGAGAAATGGAGACTTTCTTTCTTGCCTCCCCTCAAAAAAAAAAAAAAAAACAACTGTGCGGAAGTGTTCATAGCAGCTTTACTTGTAATAGTCATAACACTGGAGTTAGTCTAGGTGTTTTTCAGCTAGCCACTGGTTAAACAGACTGTGGTACATCCAAACCATGGAATAGTACTCAGCAATAAAAAGAAGGAATTATTAATAAATGCAGTTTTGATGACTGCAGAGAGTTATGCTAAGTGGGAAAAGAAGCTAGTAACCAACGGTTATACCTGTTTACTTCTGTTTGTATAACATTTTTTTAAGTAACAACATTTTAGAAATGAAGTTAAAGAATAACGGTTGCTACATGTCCATACAAAACTATAATTTGAAAAGATACAGGCATCCCAATTTTCATAGCAGCAGTTTACAATAACCTAAACATAGAAGTGAACTAAATGTCCATTGACAGATGAATGGATTAAAAAAAAAATGTGGTAAGCATGTATACACAGTGGAATATTACTCAGGCATAAAAAAGAATGAAATAATGCCATTTATAGCAACATGGATCGACCTAGAGTTTATCATACAAAGTGAAGTAAGTCAGAAAGAGAAGATTATGTGTATATCACTTACATGTGGAATCTAAAATACAGCACAAATGAACATATCTATGAGACAGAAACAGACTCGTAGAGAACAGACTTGTGGTTGACAAAGGGGAGGGGGTGGGGAAGGGAAGGATTGTGAGTTTGGGATTAACAGATGCAAACTATTCTATATAGATGGAGTTAACAACAAGGTCCCACTGTATAGCACAGGGAATTATATTCAATATCCTATGATAAACCATAATGGGAAAGAATATGAAAAAGAATATATATGTATAACTGAATCACTTTGCTGTAAGCAGAAATTAATACAACATTGTAAATCAACTATACTTTAATAAAATTGAAAAAAAGCAGAATGCTACCAGAGGTCAGAGATAGAGGAGGGAGGTGGAAGGGATCTTTGTGGTGATGGATCTGTCCTGTATCTTAACTGTGGTGGTGGATGCATGAACCTATGCATGTGATAAACACTAATAGACATAAATAGACCAGTAAAATTGGGGAAAACTGAATATATTTGGTTGATTGTGTGGATTACATCAATGTCAATATCCTGGTCATGATACTCTACTAGAGTTATTTCAAAATATGACCATTAGATGAAACCAGTTGAAGTTTCACAAGAAATCACTCTTTTGTTTCTTCAAACAACATATGAATCAACAAGTATCTCAGTAAAGATTTCAATGTTTAAAACGCTATGGTTCTGTTTTATAAAGTAACTGAGGTTTCATTGAACATAATACAAAGAGTCAGACATGACTTAGCAACTGAACAACAGGAGTATTTTTCGTTCTTTTTACTCTATAAGGATTTATTGTGTCTGTAATTTCAATAGCAGTTTGATATTTGCCATTTATGGAATTCCTATCATGTGTCGGCTTACCCAGCTGGGATCATCCTCACAATGTACTGTAATAGTAGCTATGCACTGGTTGAGGACCTTTTTCTTCCTAAGTCACCGCAGACACAAAATGTGTTTTTGAGAATGCATTTCTGTTACCTCCTCGGTACAGACTGGTTCACGTTCCCCAGCTTCCCTGGCAGTTAAGTGTGACATTGTGACCGAGTTCCAGGCCATATGGAATGTAGGCAAAATTGATGTATGCCAATCCGTGTCTGCTTGTGTGATCTTCCACGATCTCTTTTCTGTCTGGATACCAGAATTCATCAGAGGACCCCCACTGTCCTAGGAGAAGGCGACTCACAATAGAGGAAGCCTGAGACTCTGAACGACTGTCCTGAAGACCACTTGCCAGTAAGAACTAAATTTATATTGTGTTAAGCCACTAAACTTTGGGTGTCTGTATTACAGAACATAATGTTATTTACCCTTAAATATATATCTATATATATTTATGCTAATCTCCACAGTAGACTCTGGGGTCACTGAGAGTAAGAACTGTGCTGTGTTCACCTTTATACTCCTGGAGCCCAAATAGTACCTGACACAGAGAAGCTGCCTCATAACTGCTTCCCAGGTGGCTCAAGTGGTGAAGAACCCACCTACCAGTGCAGGAGATGTGAGTTCGATCTCTGGGTCGGGAAGATCCTCTGGAGAAGGGAATGGTAACCCACTGCAGTATTCTTGGCTGGGAAATCCCATGGACGGAGGAGCCAGATGGGCTACAGTCCTTGGGGTTGCAAAGAGTCAAACTTGACGGAGCAACTGAGTGAACACACACACAACTGCTTGCTGACAATCATTCTTCTATCAGTGGTAGACTCCTCATCCTTGAATGTGGTAGGAAAACCTAGGATTTCATTCCCAAGTCCAAAGTCTCACAAAAGGTCTTGAGAAGAAGCAGGGCTCAAATGAGTAAAGATATGAATTATTACTGGGTAACTTCATTTCCTCCTCTTAAGCATTTCTCATTCTGTAAGTGAAAAACACATCTTGTTTATCAGAACCTAACTGATTTAAATACAATTTATTTTCAGATTCAGTAAGTTTCACTAAATAAATGTTTCTGTGAAAATTTAACACAAAAACTCTAGTGAGAGCTCATGTTTAGACATCTTCATTATTTTTTTAGAAAAATACCACATGACACTTACTACTGCACTATGAAATTGTATAAATAATTAAAGTCAAACCTCACATATCCAAAACAATTGCCTAACTACTTTCTATGATATATTATCCTTTTACTTTATGGGTTGGCTTGCTTACTGGATAATCTGCAAAAAATTCACCTATCAAAAACAGGTCATCAGGTTACTGGGGTGAATTTATGACTAAAATCCTGGAGTTGTGCTTCAGTAAAGAAATAACATATTTTTGTTGTACCTTATCTAAGTATACACACACATTATATATTCAAATCCCAAGAGAAAAATACAACTATACTTTTATAAATGTTTTCCCTTTAACCAGCTTGTTTTGCTTACTATTTAATATCCCTTTATCACAATATTTTCTTAATACTTTGATTGGTGTGGATAGCTTCACTAGTCACAGTGACAATTAATTTGTCACAGTTTTTAACAACTGGAAAAGACCTTAAAGATCATCTAGTCCGGTACTTTTACATACAGTAAAAAGAATTATCTCCTAGAGGTTAAATGACTGTAGGAGTTCATGGTGCTGATTAGTATATAGAAAAGTCAAGTCAAGAAACTATACTCTTAACTCTGACCAGTGATGCCCTGGAATTCTAGGAGATGAATTCAATGTGAATTCAATGCTGATTATAAGATCTTATAAGCTAAAGTATGAGTTTTGCTGAACATAAATTATTTATTTGACTTTATTCTTCTGATTTAAACTCATATATAATTACATTTGAGTGGCAATTGAATAGATTTTGGTTTCTTAATATTTAATTCAGCATTTATTAATTTGAATTTTTGGGGCTTTCTTTGGGCATAACTTTTGTCAGTTCCAAAGTCTTTTTGAGCCCCTCAAAAACATACAGCCCTATTCAGACTTTTAGTAATCACTTTCATTATTCTTTTTACACTGAAGTCTTGAATTTTTACATTTAACTCTTTAATCCACATGGATTTTGTTCTATAGTGTAAAGTGAGAATTAAAATTTCTCTTTGTCTAAATAACTAATCTTTGTCCTTTCCCCACTTATCTGTGATGCCTCTATACCACATACAGTATTCTTTGTGGATGATGAGTCTTAAGTTTTTTTTCTATGCTGTTGATTATATTTTTATATTAGTGTGTTGTCAGTCAGTTAGAACAGATAGTTACAAACAACCTCAGCTATCAGTGGTTTAAAAAAAGTTTTCTTTCTCACTCAGGTTACATGTACTCTGGGGTCAGTAGGGGGCTCTGTTTATTATAGTCACCAGGAATCCCGGCCGATCAAAAACCCATCTTCACACCTGCTTCTGGAATCACTGAAGTCATGTTGCTGTCTGCTCAAATATGTATAACTTTTTCTTTATATGTTTGTCCTCAGTGAATTTTGCAGTCTGTCTTATTATGAGTTGAACAATTATCTTGGTGATTTATTTCCTTACTTTTTATGATTTTAAAATTATTTTGCATGCTTTCTATTAAGTCACCTTTGTGCACATGTCTTTTTCCTCAAAGAATCATATATTTAATTTAGACTCAAATTGTTAATATAAAATTGTCCATAGTATGCTCATGTAAGACATTATAATAACTTTTTTTCTTATTTCTAATTTCATGTACTTATATTTTCTTTTTAATTATTCATTAACTTTATTAAGTGTTTATCTAGTTTGCTGAATTTCTTTGAAACAGTTTTTATATTCATTTTCTGATCATGCATGGTGTTCTCTAATTCACTAATTTCTCCCATTAGTTTTCTTACTTTCATCTTTTTTACTTTCCTTGTGGGGTTTTCTTTGCTTTCTTCTAACTGTTAAACTCAGTCATTCAATGATTCACTTTCTCTCTTTTAATAACTAATGTTTCTGAGCATACCTTTAAATTCATCCATGTTTTCATACATAATATTCTCATATAGTGTGTGTTTGAAGTGACCTACAACTTCATTGTTTTCTATACTGACTAAGTTATTAGGAAAGCAATTTTTTTTAATTTTTAAGGGCCTGGAAATTTCTATTTAAATTGTTTAAAATTTCTTATTGAGAGGATGTGGCCTAATAATCTAACAAATGACAACTGCCAAATTCTCTAAAATTTCACTAAGGGCACACGTGCACACGCACACTCGTGTGTGAGTGTATGTACTTGTTATTGCATCGCTAAGTCATGTCTGACTCTTACGACCCCATGGACTGTAGGCCACCAGACTCCTCCATCCATGGGATTTTCCAGGCAAGAACCATTTCCTTCTCCAGGGAATCTTTCTGACCTAAGAATCGAATCCACTTTACCTGCACTGGATTGTCTACGGTGAAGCCATCCAGGAGGCCTGTATGTGTACTTAACCTTTGTCTATAACAACATTTGTTCCACAATTGTAGAATGCTTCAGTCCACTCTTCCACTCCAGGGACACTGATGCTAGAAGTAATAGCAGGTAGAGAAAGGGAAGCTGCTTCTGCTTTGGCCAAACAAGGAGACATTTCCAACTAGCAGACAGCAGCTGCTCGGTCATTCGCCTTACTTCTTTACCCAAGAGGCAGGCTGAATAAAGAGTCGCATGACCCCCATCCTATATTCCAGCCAGCCGAGCTGTTCATATTCAGAGTGCATGTGTGGGCTACAGCTAGGATCTTCAAACTAGTGTCTCCAAACCACAGATGGCAAACACTCCTCCTGGACTCTGCCATATGGTTGAGTGCTGGCTTTAATTTCCAAGAGTAGTCAAGTCTTTCAAATTTTCCGTTTAAATGTCCTTTAATACACTTTTAATTTTGATTAAAATACATGCATCTTAATCCTTCTTTCCCTTGTTTTTTGAAGTATCAATCAGTAGTTATTTTCTTCTGTAGTTCTTTCTGTTTCTGTACATTTCACTTCCCCACAACACATTATGGAAGTTTAAAAGAACCTGTGTTCTCTAAAAGACATAACGCTCATTGTGTTTTGTTTTGTTTTGTTTTTTTTCATGGGAAGTTGGGAAAGGACATTTTAGGGACCGTTTTTAGCTTGCCATCATCTTACTACAGAACATATGGGGTTTTTTTTAATCAACATATGGAATAAATACAATAAGGTGAGCAGATTTTGTTGTTAAATCTGCACTTTCAAATTCTCACAGCTAAAAGGAGTAATCACACAAATAAACAAAATATGTACAGGGCTTATTATCAGAAACACTATTCAGCCTTAAAATAATGCTTGACACTTTCTTTTAGTAAAATTCAGGAAGAAAAAGGTGAAAGTGTTAGTCGCTCAGTCGTGTCTGAATCTTTGTGACCCTGTGGACTGTAGCCCACCAGGCTTCTCTGTCCATGGATTTCTCCAGGCAAGAATATTCTTCTTTAGGGGATCTTCCTGACCCAAGGATTGAACCTAGATTTCCTGCATTGCAGACATTCTTTGCCACCTGAGCCACCAGGGAACTTGGTAATAAAAAGGTCCAGTGCCATCCTCAGATGGAAACCAGGTGTTGAAGGAAATTCAAGTTCTTGTTCCATAGAATGACTGGGAGATCTCTAGCATTTCATTACAGGCTACACAGAAACTTAAAATGTAACCGAAAAATGCTATGTCTGCTTATTTAAAGCCTTTGAGTGTTAAATCAATCATAACTCTAGTGTAAATTATTAAATTGTCATCTATAGTATTATTTCCACCAGTTAAGATCTTCCTCAAGTGATATTATCTGGAATATTCTGAATACATAGGCATGTCTAAAGAACTACATGACTCCCTAAGAAAAACAGCAATGTTTCATAAAATGTATGCCTATAATTTTTAAAACTTAGTTAAGGAGTAGAAATTTTTAAAAATTTAAAATTAAAAAAGTCTGCTCAGAGACCTACAAGACAGCAGCACTTAATTCAGCCTTGGCTTCTCAATGGCCCCAAACTTCGACATCTGCAAGGGATGATAGAAAATGTGAAAGTGAATTATACCACGGAAGTTTACACCTGGATGACAATTCACAAAATATAAAAGGCTTGAAAGTATATTGATGAAAAACAGTATGTTAGAATTTTTCTTTTTTTGGTCATATTGGGTTGACCAAAAAGTTCATTCAGATTTTCCAGTAATGTCTTATGGAAAAACACAATGAACTTTATGGTCAATCCAATACCTTGCATCAAGTTCTATTTTCAGGTGCACAAAGTCCCGGTCCAGAGACTGGGACCAATACAAACACAGGTAGAATTTCATGTCAGCTCTTAGGGACTAGAAATAGACACAAACACAACCAATGCCAAAACAAAGTCATTTAAAATAAATAGATAATAGGAAAACCTTAACATTTCTAGGAAACTCCAAGAAGGAGGGGCTTCCCAGGTGGTGCTAGTCATAAAGAATCTGCCTGCCAGTACAGGAGCCACAAGAGGTGCGGGTTCAATCTCTAGGTTAGGAAAATTCCCCTGGAGTAGGAAACGGCAACCCACTGCAATATTCTTACCTGGAACATTCCATGGACAGAGGAGCCTGGTTGGCTACAGTCTATGGGTTTGTGAAGAGTCGGACACTACTGAGGGACTGAACGCACAGCACACACTTGAGAGGGGGAGAGAAATCCCACCCCAAGGGCCTGAGAAAGAAATTCTGATTCAAATTAGGACTTGAAGGACAGGGAGGGCTGTGGAGTGCACACGATATTGTCAAGTATTATAGGCCTCTAGGAAGACCAGAAGGCAGGCCTGCAAAGGACACGGATGTAACAAACAGCAGTCCTGAATTTGGGGTCAGTGAGTCTCCACCACAAGGTTCCATCCACTGGCTCAGCCCTTTCCTGGAAATCGTGCAGTGAGTGTTGACTCTGCCTCATTCCGTGGTGCCCAGAAGACCAAAGGCACAGTTGTGTATGTGTGCTCAGGCGCTTCAGCCATGTCTGACTCTTTGTGACCCCATGGCCTGTAGCCCACCAGGTCCTCTGTCCATGGAATTCTCCAGGCAAGAATACTGCAGTGGGTTGCCATTCCCTTCTCCAGGGAATCATGAGAAATAATAAATCATTGTTCATTTAAACACTAACGTTGGGGTTGGTTTCGAGGGCAAACTGTGCTGTTCATTGGCAGTTCTCACCTTAACAGGCATACCTATCACTAATAGATCTTGTCAAAGGGCAGATTTGCATTCCAAAGGTCTGAGTGAGTCTTGAGAGTCTGCAGCGTTCATCAGGCAAAGGTGATATGAATGCTGGTGGCCTATGACCTGCAGTTTAAATAGAAACTTTTGGTAAGAGTGTAATCTTTTTCTTTAATTACTTTTTGGCTATTAGTCTGCTAGAGCTGCCATAACAAAGTACCACAGGCTGGGTGTCTTAGAACACAAAAATTTACTTTCTTATAATTCTGGAGGCTAGAAGTCCAAGATCAAGGGGTCGGCAGGGTTGCTTTCTTCTAACGTCTCTCTCCTCGGCTTGCAGATGGCTCTCTCCCTCCTCTGTCTTCACATGGCCCTCCTTCTGTGCCTGTTTGTGTCCTAATCTCCTCTTCCTATAAGGACCCCAATAATATTGGACTAGGGCCTACCCCCAAGACCTCATTTAACTTCAATTACCTCTTTAAAGACCCTATGTCCTAATACAGTCACATTCAGAGGTACGGGAAATCACGACTTCAGTATGTGACTACTGTGAGGAACACCATTCCCCCATAACAGCTATTTAGAAAAGCTTAAGGAAAAATCCGGGATTTCCTGGTGGCTCAGATGGTAAACAATCTGCCTGCAATGTGGGAGACCCTGGTTCTGTCCCTGGGTCGGGAAGATCCGCGGGAGAAGGGAAGATCCCCTGGAGAAGGGAAGAGCAATCCACTCCAGTATTCTTGCCTGGAGAATTCCATGGACAGAGGAGCCTGGTGGGCCTCAGTCCATGGGGTTCGCAAAGAGTTGGACATGACTGAGTGACTAACACACACAAGAAGTAAATCATGACATGTAAGCTGGGATTTAAAAGATAACTTGAATTTTATAGCAGCGAGAAGGATGAGGTTCATCTGAGGACACAGAGGGAACAATTTGAGCTGATTCTGGTCAACTTGGGATGTGCATGCACTTTACAAACAGAATTGAACAGGATGTGACAGACTCCAGGTCAGATGCTACTGCATCTCTGATTTTTTAAAGAGTCCTTCATTACTGCCAGATACACGAAATCCATCCCCTCTCCCTCGAAAACTTCAATTCCCCTGGTATGGAGAGCACAGCTTCCGGTCGTTGTTAAGAGAGAGTAGGCTGGGCATGCACAACCACAGGCTCTGTCCCTCCTCATCTGTGGCACTCTACTCTGTCCCTGGAATGTTCCCGAAGCAGCCGGCATCCTTTCCATCCAAGCCTGCAGGTGCCAGAACATTCCTCCCACTGAAATCTACCTAAAGCCACTGAACTACTGTGCCCAGGGGAGGAGGCAGAAGCATCTCCTGCCTGCCTTTCCTGTCGGGCTGATAATGTAGAATCATACATGATATTGACGTAGCATCTTTCTCAATGGAGCTCGAGTGCTCCCAGACATTACCTCACAACATCCCTGTGGTCCTAACCCAAGAAGTGGCTCCTACAAGTACATGACCTTGTTCAATCAGCACAAAAAAATCTAATAACCGGCAGGTAATATGTATTCTTTGAAAGATAAAAGTGGGACTGCTTCAATACCATGAGGGATTTTTTTTCTTTTTTTCACAGTGCTTTGGTAGCACAGGCAATAAGCATTGCGGATTGAATGATTATAATGTTCTCTGGGCATCACCTGTGCCCGCCTGCGGGACAGGGAGGATAAACAGCCTCTACAAGACTGACTCATAGAACTGTGGACTTCAGAGAGCTATCTGAATGACTCCGCTCTTCCTATTTAGCCTTTCAGGTATTCTGAAAGAGATCACACAGAAATTGCAGGTGCACAAGAGCCAGCACCAGTGATGAAAAGGGAAGGACACCTTAGCCGAAAATGGAATCTCTGCTGTTGAGTAGCCTTTGTGTCTACTTTTTTCCTTACCCCTGGGCTCCAGGAAATCCACACTTTCCCATTCAGGTCAGAGGACGGTGACCTTTCTCCTCCTGCTTTCTTTTCAACTCTTTCCAGAGGTGAAGCTTTAAGGTTGCTTGAAGACAGAGTTAATAACTCTCTCCAAGAGACGAGCACCACCGCCTTAGGTCAGCCACAGAAAAAAAGCACCAGTCCCCAAGTGCCATAGACCCAGTTCACAATTGCATTGTCATTCACCAGCTGTGTGACTTCAGACACAGTTTTAGTCCTATGTCACTGTTTCTCATCTATAGGTAAAGATGATGTCTACATTGGAGGGTTGGTAAGAATATTAACTAAAACCACATGTAAAGAACTTAACATCATTCCTGGCATGTCTTCATTCTTTGATAAACGTACAATGTTATTATAAGCAAGAGTAATCACAATAATTGCTATTTCCCATTTTATTCGTGAAATTAGAAAAGATTGGAAGAAGAAAGCAAAACAAGATTGTGAGAGAACTTGGGAAACTGCGCACTTGGAATTCCATATCCCCATATCCCAAAATAAGGAATATCTCTGTGGCCTTCATCCGTCATAATGTCAAAGTGAATTTCATTTTGTTTTGCTTGCTTTGTTTTGTTTTGCTGTGAATACACATCGCAAAAGTCTTCTGAGTCCTCTCATTAGAGTTTAACACAGGTAATGTTCTTTGACATACAGTTTAGAGAATTAAAGACAGTAAGGGCAATTTGGGGTAAAATTTTTTATAGAAAATAGAGAACAGTTAAATTTCCTGTGGTTAAAATGAGAAGCCCTTCTTAGCTACTGACTCTGATCCATAGAGAACTTGAATTCCCATTTACTCTAATAGGCTGAGCTAGATATTTTTCTATTCCAGGGTTACACTTGTTCTAAATAATGGAAAGTGGTCTGTGTAATGATACATACATATCCGAATTAGAAACTATTATTTCCTCTGTCTTGAAAACCCTTGATAGTATTTACATTCTAAATTAAACTGAGCACTGTATATTGATTTTAATATGTTAAGATGAAATTCAATTTCATGACTACTACGAACATCACAGAGCGTGAGGGATCAATGTGTTTGCTGATTTCCTGCTTACTACCAATACCCTAAGGGTTTGATACTAGATTTACAAGAATATTGTTTCTGAAGATGTGTGCACAAACACGCTATCAAATAAGATACAATGCATTGCACATTAGGCCATGAATGATTCGTTTGCTGCATTTTAATCAGCCTGGCATAAATGCTGACACATCTGTTAATGAGTTCCCTGTAGTCGGGCCACCAAGTGAAGCTCAGTTTCTTTCTCAAGAAGCAGAGCTGGCGAGAGAGGTCTCCCCATGACTGCTCTTGGAATCCACCCTGCCTGAAAAAAAGGAAGTGCATATCAGCTAAGATAGAGCTATGGTTGTGCAAGATGCAACTGCTGAGATGGCAGCAAGCCCAATGGCCAATTAAGTACCAGTAAGTGTGTGTGTGTGTGTGTGTGTGCGTGTGTGTGCGCGTGCATTGATTTAGCTCCATAAAGCCTTCCTTTGACAATACAAGAGGCACTCTAATGTGGTGGAGATGAGTATGGGCATGGAGTTGACCAACACTGGGGTCAAGTCCAGATTACATCAGTTACCAGCCAGGTGACTTAGGACAAATTACTGAACCTATTTGTGACTCAATGTCCTCCTCTAAAAAAATGGGAAGAAGAAAAAGAACAAGTCCCTCATAGAGTCATGAAGATTTAATGAGACAAAACACATTAAACCCTCCTCCCAGTACTTGGCATGGAGGAAGAACTCAATAGATGGTAAGTATTATTATTAGATAAAACTCACATCCCAGTCATTCAAACACAATTTTTATTGAATTCTCATTATGAGGAAGACACTGTATAGACACTTCGGCAAATGCAGAGATTAACACAACACAGTCTCTACTTTGGAAGAGATTACATCCTGGTTGGGTAGATGAATACATAAATAACTATAATTGATGGGAAAACATGGTTAAGTGCTGCAAGAGAGGTATAATAAATTGCTATGGGAATCTACAAGGTAAATAGATTACTTCCCACTGGGAGGGTCAGGGAAGCCCTCTTGAAAAGGATGCCACTGGGTTTTGAGTCTTGAAGAATAAATAGAATATGAATGTGTGGGAAGGTGAATGTGCAGAGGAATAAAGATATGCAAGTGAGCATGTGAGACACAGAGGCTGTCTATCAGCTCTTGCCAGCTGGGGGTGTATGTTGCAATGTAATGGAAAAGAAGTTTGTAAAATAGGTTGGAAGTAAACAACAGAGCACAAAGGCCAAGTTCAAGAGTTGGGTCTTTATCTGGTGTGAAGGGAACTTCCCAGCTGGCTCAGTGGTGAAGAACCTGCCTGCAATGCAGGAGACCCAAGTTCAATTCCTGGGTCACAAAGATCCACTGGAGAAGGGAATGGCTACCCAATCCAATATTCCTGCCTGGAGGAGCCCATGGGCAGAGGAACCTGGTGGGCTACAGACCATGGGGTCACAGGGACTAACATTTTCACTTTTTTTCACTTGGTGTGAGGGGAGTGTCTTTTGAAATTTGTTCCATTGAGAAACAAGCTGGTCTGAATGCTGCAGTAGGAAAAGTAAGCTAACACCTCGCGCCTATTCAGCGCGTGCCTGGAACCTTCCGAGATGCTTTATGTGCATCAATTCCTTTAGTCTCCATACAATCCCTTTAGTCTCCATACAATCCCATTAGGTAAGTACTAGTATTGTCATCATTTCACACTTAAGAAATCCAAGACACAGAGAAACTAAACCGACTGCCCAAGATTGCATAGTCAGGAGTGGACAGAGGCAGGTTTGAGTCCAGGGAGTCTGGCTGTGGTCCCCACACCCTTGACCACTAGCCTCAACATCTGCTGCTCCAGAAGAAGGTGAGCATGCAGTGAGCAGGGCCAGGGAGGAAGCCAGGGACAGCAGCAGAGCCGAGACAGAAGAGAGTGAGATAAGACAGCTGAAGCAGGGTCACAGTGCTGGGAGAGCACGGGGAGGATTATGACAAGGGCAGAGTCGATATCATTTAGGAACGAGCTTCATTTCACGTGGGGCTTCCCTGGTGCCTCAGACAGTAAAGAATCTGCCTGCAATGTGGGAGACCCAGGTTTGATCCCTGGGTCGGGAAGATCCCCTGGAGAAGGGAATGCAACCCACTCCAGTATTCTTGCCTGGAGAATTCTGCGGACAGAGGAGCCTGGTGGGCTACAGTCCACGAGGTCACAAAGAGTCGGACACAACTGAGCAACTGACACTTTCACTTCATTTCATATGATGAGAAAATGAGAAAGGGGATTCAAAGGCTGCCAACTTTGCTTCTAGAAAGAAGACAGCTGGGGGCATTCCTGGGCTGAGGCAGCATTGCATAGGGCATGCAAAAACCCTATGTCAGAGTCTGACAGACCCTTGGGTGACCTTGTGTAACTTTCATTTCATCTACCAAAGTAAGGATTTGTATGGTTGTTTAGAATCAAATGGGATACATAATCTCTATAGAAGAGCCTGGAACATAGGAGGCATTAAATAAACATTTATTTTCTTTCCTGCTGAAAAGAACCGTGATCCTGGAAGAGAACAGGACAGGGGATGGAAGAGTAAGATAGTTCCGCTACCCCAGAGGCTTAACCCACTGCCTATGGCCTGAGTGGTTCTGTCTTTTGAGATTTGACAGGGGACTTTCAGGGCAAGGCAACAGGAAGAGGCTGACACTGAGGTGGGAGTTGGTCCCAGGCAATCCTGGATCTCCGTCTACATGGGGAGAGAGGAAAATGGTGGAGAGAGGGGAAGCTTCTGTGGCTCCATCTCGGCCTGACAGGATGACAGCGAGGCTCAAGGCAAAGGCACACTGGTTGAATGAGAGGGTAACGCCTGTGTGCAAGCTTCCTTTACCACCAGCCAACCCCCCGGGGGATGTCTTCGGCCTCATACCACAATGGTGACCTTGTCACGCATCTGGAATATGAACCTAAAATCTCCAAAAGGGCCAATGGATTTTAAACCCATCTGAGGGAAGCTTTGGCACCTCATGCCAAAGGGATTCTTTCCTTAATAGACTTTGCACCTGAACCAGCTGGCCACTTTAATTCCTGGATTCAGGGGGCTGACGCAGGAACCGGGGAGAAGGGCCACAGCATTGATGAGACCAGATGAATTCTCCAGTCAGATTCCCATGGTGAGGAGACAGCCTGTGAAAGAATTGAACCTACGTCCTATTCCTTGGACTGCTGAGTGGGCTGATCTATGGAGAGGAGGGAACCAGGGAAATCATTGCTCAATCTCAAGACAAGGTTGTGAACTTTCTGAAAAAGGCAAAAGAGGGAAGAAATTCCCTCAGAGAGAAAGATCAATAAAGCTTATGGGCAATCTTCTACTTAACTGAACAAAAGGCTCCAACCTCAGAACACCCCAGAAAGACCCCAGAAACACCTCAGAAGCAATGAGCAAGACTTATTGAGTTATTTGAATGCCCCAGAAAGACTAAATAGAGTATTTTTTTTTTTCAATGCCTAAAGCAGTGGCCTGAGCTGCCCTCAGATAATAAAGCAGTGGAAATGTTGTGTAGCAACTTTCTTAGACACCTGCTCTGGAGACTCCTCACTTCATCTCTACCCCAGAGATGACCTTGCAAAGTCTCCCATCACACCTCACTCTGGGGCTTACACCACTTCATTCCTGATATTTTCCTCCCAGCCAACCTGGACTCCCTAGACATAATTTGTCCTTAGCTCTGAAACCTCTGTGATCTGGTCCAGCCCCATAGACCTTGAGGCTGTGTGCCTTCATCAGATGTCACCAGCTCACCATCATGGAGAGAGTGTTGTGATCATTCAAGAGGAGTAGTTCTCAAAGAATGGTCTGAGGAGCCCAGGTTGCCAACACACTTCCTGGAACTCACAAGGACCTCCCTTTTCCAGTTACGTATGTGTGTAAAGCTGTTTTTATAGGCTTCAAGCAAAAGGACATAATGCCACCCATTCAATGCAGAAGCAGATATAAAAATTCAGCTATCATTTATAAAGCCACACATTTTTTTTAAAAAATTGCAAAAATATAACATAACACTACTTTTCACAGATATTTTTTCATTTAGGAAAATATAATTATTTTAAAAAAATATTATTTAAGCTAACATATTATGGGTTTACAATGCTAGTTTTATTATTTTTAAATAAACTAATATAAAGTTCTCAGCTTTAATTGCTAATATGTTTAATATCAATCAACATAACCCATCCAGAAAAAATGTCCTTGAGAGTCCTCAATAATTTTTGAGACTGTGAAGGGATCCTTTAAAACTTTAAGAAATGCTTTTCTATA